TCTCCTAGGCAAACGTCTCCAGTGTGATGTCTCTCTAAGCTTTATTTTTGATGAAAAAAGTGGTCGAGTGTCGCGTTTGGAGATTAGTGTCGACTGGGTTGGAGCTTTACTTGTCGTATTGGGCAATTTGAAGAACGTAACGACCGTGCTCGATGGCGCTGTGATTAGCGGTTGAATGTAGCTTTTCGGTGTTAGAAGAATCTAAAAGTCGAATGAAATTGGGGAGACCACTAGAAAGCGATTTTAACCTCGAATCATCCTTTATTTTTTAACATAAGCATGGATCTCTCGTTTATCACGTCACAGCATTCTGCAACACCATAACCACTAAATTTGGATAGTTTTCATGGTTTAGGACACTTTTCGCAATGATAACCACGTAAAGCGGTGCTTGCCCGAAATCTGAACACCGTCCATCTTCCGAATATAGTACAGAGCGCGGTTGTTGTTTCATCCATGCGATCCACGATAGAGCTACCCCTGCCTCACCTCCCGGCTCAACACCCAAACGGACTACCAACACTTAAGTGGCCATCCTTGTACAGCTCCATTCATTGTATTCAACCAGTAACCAAAGCGCCATCAAGTACATTCGCTACGTTCTTCAAATTGCCCAATACGACAAGTAAAGCTCCAACCCAGTCGACACTAATCTCCAAACGCGACACTCGACCACTTTTTTCATCAAAAATAAAGCTTAGAGAGACATCACACTGGAGACGTTTGCCTAGGAGACGCTTGGCCAACAAAGGCTGCGTATCGTGCTGACTACGAGGTGCATTCAGGAGCTGAGGAAACACACTACACAACGTGGATACGGATACTGTGAGTTCGAGGATCGCTGTTGCCGTAACGATACCCAGGGTCGTCTCCACGGCTTGTTCGAGGTGTATTCTCGGATCATCGAAGTACAGAAAGTACCGCAGGAGCTGAATCATCAGTTCATCAACACCAATCACGTCTCCCACCACTACATCCAGTGAAAACGAGTTTCGCAGTGATTCCACCAATTGTCGTTCAGCGACATTGTTTGTTAGAGATATCCCGTCGCTCACACACCCAGATAGTAGAATATAAGCCTCGGCAAGCTTGAAGATGTCGATCACAACGCGGCATGAGCTTCTGCTTTCTCTCCGAAGGCTAAGGTCCCGCTTTTTCCGCTCCAAGCTGTCGATGTCCTTCAACAATTGCTTCACATTCAATCGGATGGCACGTTGTCGCTCGCGGTATCGCTGTTGGTTAATCCGGCACCGCTCCAGTCGCTTCGCGGGCGTCTTGGAATTGGTTGACTCCTTTACGAAGACAGTGTGCGTGTTCGTTGGTGCGCGGCTTGTGCTGGGCTCACGGCATCTTGTTGTCGGTGTCTTGGTTATTTTCCGTTCTCCAGACGCGCCAGTTACCCTTGGATTGGACCAATTGACAAGGCTGCAGTCAAAAACAGGAGATTTGGTGTCAGGAGGGTGGTAATCGGCGTCAATACCCAGAGAACAGTGCCGCCCTCTTTGAAATCGGGGTTGAACGGGACCAATCAGACTGTCCGTCAGTGGTCTCCGGTCGTGGCGTAGCATTCTTCGTTGGGTTTCGAAGGGACTTCGTATCGGGTGCGACGAATTTGTTTTGATGGTTGAAGACTGGTTCTTGAGCTGGATTACGAGGATATGCTCTGTAGCCCACTGTAACGTAATACATGGGCGAAGGCGAACCATAGAACTGATAACATGTGTTTCGCACAAATGCGGAATCAATCGAGAATACAAACAGTTATCTAGGCACAACCAGTAACTAATAGGGACGTGCTCCCCCTGATTTAGTAGTTCATGTACTTGGATGTTTGAACAAAATGTACCCGTGGCAATTTACTGAATGTTTGCAGTCGTAGCATTGTAGTCATTGTGTAGAATATTCAAGAACAGTACACGACGTATAATATTCGTTTTAAATAATCTACGAGAATCGCGTGACACGCATTGCAGTGATTGTAGTTCTATTACGATGCAATGTTTAGATAGTGGGGGTTAATGACCTCATGTTTGGGTTTTATCCTACCATATATTACGATGCAGCGGTTTAGTCGGATCTGGTGTGGCTACATGTCTTACTACATGTATTAGAACATTTCTGTACTTCAAAAGACAAGCCTTGATTATGGGAAACTTACGGAATGGGAGCGTTTCCATAATCCATGAAGGTGTTGGGGGATCTGACCAAATCTCGCGTTTATTAATAAGCAGCCATTTGATGCAAATCAAGTGAGCTATTCGAGCCGCGTTGGCCGTAGCCTACGCAAACATATCAATACATCCTACCTCCTTATGATGTCCCAATGCCTCAGTGTGGCCCCCTGCCACTGCGTGTAGTAACAAAACATTGAATCTATCAGGAGTATCGTCCTTGTTAACACAAATTGTAGCAAAGTGTGAATCGAGAATATTGCCATTGCGTTGATCCTTGCGCGAGCCTCACGCCTCAACGCTGTGGGAAATACGTCTGTTTACAAGTTTGTCCTCTAGTCTCACGAGATTTATTCGAGTTGTTGTCGTACGAAAGGGCTCGAGCCAGTTTACTCACTCCCTTTTATAATGTGCGTAACAGAGGCGTAACATTCAATGTGAAGTCTATAAGCTGTAAGGAAGCGTCTTGTGTAGCTCGATGACAAAAGAAAAGTGAGCTTTATTGATAACTTAGAGTCCTAACTGCGAACTTGTATTTCTATCCGCAACCTTGCCGTTTGAAATTCAAGTTTCAATCTTAAGATTTCTAAGCCACATTATTGGCTGAAATGTAAAGTAGGAATTGTCATCTGAATGTCAGACATTTCCTAGCAGATATTATCCAGCAGACGAAGGATAATATCCAACAGACGGTTACGTCACACGACCTCCTTTTGAAAGAAGGCGATTACTT